TGTCATTAAGGTAAATTAAAAATAAAAGCTGCCTTAAGACCGAACGTTGTGGCACAAAAGACGAGATTGGAACAATATTGGATGATGTTTCACTGTGAAAGACAAATTGCGAACGCTGGGATAAAAAATCAACATTCTAAGCTGAAATTTTGCTGCTGCCAATGATTGCCTCCAGTTTTAGAATTAACTTGCTGTGATACACGTGACAAACCACTTTGTGGCAATCTGGGAATATATTATCTGTTTGGCCACAAGTGTCAATCTCCAATGCGACATCATGAACAACTTCTGTTGTTCACGATCTTGCACGGGCGATTGACAAGGAAATAAAATTGCTTAAAATGAAACAGCCAGCACTGAAATCATAACTAACGTTTCACAAACGTTATTGGTCTTTAGACAAGAAGTGCTGAGACCTGGCATAGCTCGGACGTGGAATACTTGGTTATCCCGCAACATGCTGGGGATGGATTCCTACGGGGACCCAGACATTTAATATTTGCAAATGTCTTGGCAGCAGAGCTGCCAATTTCAGCTCTTTCTTATTGCTTTTGCGTTAAGATTAAGAAGGCTTATTTGTGTCGTTCCTAGGCATTATACGATGTCAAGCACTTGTGGCGCATACCCGAAATATGCTACACGTGTCTGGCCGAAACGTTTTGACAATGTGCGCGACAGGATTGTCACCATTTTATGTCATGACCACCGAGTCGTAATGATTACGTCATCTTATCATCTTGTACTAATTTTGGTTTACCTCATGCTAACGGCGTGATCACACAAGCACGCAGATGTATGTGGCTAGTTGAATAGATAGATAGATAGATAGATAGATAGATAGATAGATAGATAGATAGATAGATAGATAGATAGATAGATTTTACACGATAAAATTTCTGTAGCCTGCAAAGAAATGCTTTTTATTTAAAAGCCATATGTCCGCCTGTCCGTGAGACACACTCCTACGAAACTCCCATGCGTCAGGCATACTCATAACTTTCAACAAACATGCGGTATGCAGTGCATGTGGCCCTCAAAGGTCTCGATTGTGTAGTAACTATGTAGCTTGTGAAGCTGTGCGCCTTATGGCAGTCGGACCTCTGCGGACACCAAAAAGAGGTAGACTAAGCGCGTACAACCTGTATACGTGAAATTTTTCTCAAGAGTTGGGGCTTATCTCTCTGCTTTTGACGTGTTTTACTTCTCTGTTAATATCAGAAAACAGCAGAAGCAGTGGGAAGAAGTTTGAAGAGATGAAAATAATTCCTCTTACACAAGGGATAACTGGAGCTTTTAGATTTTTACGCAGTAAGAGATGCTATTATACCAGCGCCAGTACACCCTGATTATATAAATTGTACAGCAGCGAATCGTTATCGTATTCCGCACTTTTGATAGAGCTTTACTCACTGTCATAACGGGAACGCCTCCACGTAGTTTAGCTCCGTGTGCTTCCTCTTCGACAAATGAGGACACTTATGAATTACTGATGAAATAATGAAAAAAGGAAGGTGACAATAGAAATAGGCACAAAATTAAGCTCCATAGAATATTCATTTCAGTTAAATTCTCATTATTATTTGATAAGTGCCAAATGTTCAGTATTTGAAACTGCCTAGCAAGCTAGAAAAAATTAATCGATTGGCACGTCTTGGGGGAGAGTCGCTCCGCATCTTCCATTTAAACTGCACAAGAAACAGCTTCTGAGATAGTAATGACTCCCCAGTCACGTTTACTAGTCTGCAGAGTCATACAGGCGGCAACAGGAGAGGCGAGCCTGGAAGCGTAGCCCTATACACGAAAGTTTTCCTAGATACAAAAGAGTCCATATTATATGCAATATTCTAGGTAGTGTGCTATTACTCTTGAAGCAGTAATATCTGGCAAGTCATTCCTCACACGGCACACAGGAGCACCTTTTTCGAAGTTGTGGAAACTCTTACATTAACAGTTGCTTGTTTTTACGTCTAGCATACTGATGGATGGTAGTGCTAGACTTTCTGTAGTGTGCGATTCAGTGCACGCTAATGCACTCAAGGTATTTCGGTTACCTTGAACCCTCAGTGTCATGGTTTCACAAAACATGCGTGCATCAGGACGGTACACCCCACAAAACAGCAGAGCAAACAGCGTACACACGCCCATATACCGGTATGTATCAGTCCCGTGCCTAGCTCTACCGGGGCCCAATGCTCACGAACCCGAGCCTCGCTCGGGCCCGATCTAATAAGTTCTTGGTCAGGCCGGGACAGGCCCGTCCCGTGCTTTACCATGAAGTCGTTAAGATAGCCTCATGCTGTGACGCCCGACGGCAATGTACGCTTTTACCACGCAATATTACTCCCACAAGAGATATTGTATTATGAAGCCTGTATACAGACGCATGTGTTTATAGAGGATCAAAGTTATTTTCCCAACGTTCCCAAGCAGATGAAGTTATTATCAGTGTATTTCTAAGGAGACGCGTGACTGTGTTGTAGAACTTTTGCTTGCCCCACTAGCAGCCGGGGTTCAATCCTCACTCACATCTACAAATTTCCAATATTCGGGTACCTTGCATATTTCTCGATTTTTTGGTCATGGACTAGATGATGATTTTTAGCTCACATCATACAACGTTCATACTGACACCGACGCCGGAATCTGTGCAAAACGAGCTCTTCACAGCTGTGAAGTTGAATTGTCACTGCCTTTAGTTTACCTCATGTGGCCTAAATGTAGCAGTATGAGCGTGATATGAGGAGTTGAGAAAACGTTTATTGTCTTTCACGTAGGCTTTACTGATACATCATAAAACATATCGGGAATGCAAATACAGATACTCTTCTGGCAATACGTACCACGACTCAGATACCAGACACACAGTGCCGAAGATAGTATCTCAGGTAAATGCATCTTTGATATTAGACAGCACTGCACTTTAGTGATGGGAGCTAAACATGACCATTACGTATTTGCTTGCTTTCTATAAAAGATTTTGAAAACACTTCAATACCTTCAATGAGAAGTATTTTGCTGTACAACCAGCAGACATCTAATGTTACCAGAATAGCTTGATGTAATCGTATTCACTTCTTCCTAATGGGCTTTGCTATTCTTCGAAGGAAACTTAAGGTGTATTTGGAACGAACGATGAAACTGGCGATATAGTATATATAGAGAGATGATTTAAAATTTTGATAGTAATTCAGTACTTGTGTCGATGTAAAATACTACAGGTCTACCAGGTCTTCCTGGTTATGTGCGCCTGGGATAACCATTGTCCGCAGGTTTTCTCAGAAGGCCCTTTCTGTTTGCGAGTCGCTTCAAGACATCGTGTTCTGCATAAACTTTGGAAAAATTGATGATGACGCCTAATCACTCGCCCATGTTTCTGCCATTCATCTCTTTTGTCGGTCTTTGCTCGCCTGCCTACATTTTTTCTCTTACAAAAAAAGCAGCTGATGCTCAGAGGTGTGTGTCGTATGTGCCCATTGTCGTGTTTCATGCGCTGTGCTTCCACACTATCAGATCACGTTGCCTTTTGAAAAAAAAGGCACCTTGTTTGTGAATCAATTGGAAGGAGGATTTGATGACAGACAGACAGACAAGAAACTTTAATAAATTCTGAGGAACAAGCGGGGACACCAGACTTCCTGTCGGCTAATCCCTTCCTGGAGCAGAGATGCCATGCCTCTCCACTCCCTCACGGGCCCCCTTCACTGCCTTGGACTAGTATTCAAGTTTAGAGCTCGTGAAGGCTTTTTCTCAGTCCTCTTTCTTGTTGAAGTTTTATAACACAGAGAACTGCCAGAGCATGTGGGTTGAAGAACCGAACTCTTCCGCGCAATCTGGGCAATAAAGTTATGTCTCTGTGTGGAGCCTGCAAATGAAACCTCTCGATGGGTACAAACACTTTTAAAGCGTTCTGAACGTACAAGAGAACCATATAATCTCTACAGCAATCTATGTCTGGAAGCCCATTTACAAAGATGATGGTTCCCTTCCACGGTTATGTTTTAACACACAGAAGTAGAATGGAGTGCTTCACAAAAAAAAAAGATCCAGACAAGCCAGCTTTGCGTAGCTCGTGAGCATAACTATTAAGCGAGAAAAGTAACAGTTTTGTTTCAAAGGCGAATCAACTAATGCAATAGAAACAAACTGTAAGGTCACGAGTAGAATGGCAAGCAGGTAAAAAGTGTCTCACCTTTCTCACGCACAAATGACGCACAAAGCATAGTCACAGGTACAGGTGAACGCGAATAAGCGTCTCAGTAGTTACTTCATTCTGTCTGAAAAGCGCACCCTTTCCGCAAACGAAGATCGTGCAACGATGGCAGTGCGCCCGGTAACTACAACGGAATCGTTCTGGTCAAAGCCAAAGGCTAATGAAGACATACGATCGTCCCCACCACGAGTTAGGCGCACGCGTGAGCGTTCACCCTGCCCACTCTCTACGGGGAAAGTACGCGTGGAAGATGAGAGGGCACATCGCCGCACCGTGACGATGTGGCAATGTGAGCACATTCTGCCATCTTGCTGGTAATGCTTAAAACACGATGGTTTCCCCCGAGATTCCCGTTACCAGTGGCAAGTGGTAGACATAATTAGCTTGCCGTTTGAACGGTGAAGAAGTGCTCCTTAGTGGTTTAGTTGCTCAAGCCTCAGACTCGGAATTCGGAAGTTTCACGTTCAATTCCACACGCTGTAGTCTTTTTCTGAATGATTTTTTTTCTTGCGTTTTCATATATATAGTTACCTTTACATATACGGTGACTGACGGCAATGCAGTCGTCGATGCTGACGCCGGAAGCAAAGCCCTGCTGAGAGTGTTTATACAATTAGTGTCGCAATAAACATCTGGTACGAAGATAACAATAAGAGAGGGCCAGGTTTCCCGTGGCCTAAACAGTATTATCTGAATGCGTACCGGTGATCAGAATTCGCTGCATGAATTATTTTTATTGTTGTGTGCTGCCCTTCGCCATTGTCCGAGCTACCGCGGTGGCTGCTTGCAGGTGCGCTGGTTCTGGTGCTTCGCTACCAGCGGCTTCGGTGGACGCCGCTCTCCGGAGCTTGCCGGAAGCTGCGCAAGCATGACGTGTGGCACAACACGATGCCCATGCTGACAACCGAATCGGCCTTCCGCCACGTGGACGTTAACGAGGATGGGACGCTGGACGTTGTTTTTGGCTTCGGAACCGGTCAGTGCGCAGAGCTCACCGCGTGGCTCCGGTGACCGAGCACGTGCGTGCAGGCTTGGACGCCTACCGGTACCCGTTGGTGGCCTGCGACGTCTACTTGCCCGCGGCTGGTGATCGAGGCTGCGGCGGTGGCCTGGCAGCTCTTGACGGCCGCTCGGGGCACGAGCTATGGCGCCTCTACGTCCGACACGAGCTGTTCGCGCTCAACTGTCGGCTAGACCTGGACGCCGACGGCGTGTGGGACTGCGTCGCCGGAGGCCGCATGGCGGTAACTCTACTTCACATGCGCATTCTCACTTACTTTTGATCACCATATCAAACTTGAAAGAAGATCGTATTCTGAAAATGGTAGAAAGGGGAAGATTTATTCTTGCTGTGAAAAATCTGTAAACAGGATTTGTGTCAAAACGTCGGCGGAAAACAACCCCTGTTTACGAATATTTCATCAAAAGGGATGATATGTCACAAAACGCAGAGAGATGTGTTGGGCTGCAGCATTTCTGAACTGCAATATAATTACAAGAGACGTCTATGCCAAAGGCTCTGAATAGTGGGTTAAGGTGGGTGTTCATGAATTTGTAGGTTGGGCGAGTTGGTACAGATCTATCTTCGTAGGAAACCAAAAATTAGGCTACACATGCATGAAAAAATATAGCACGACAGAAGCGCTTGCCCTCAAGTAAGCGTTTACTTGGAAATGCGAACACATATTTCGTTGAACGAACGAAAAAAAATTGGCAGATCCCACGTACAGTGGGAATCGATGATATGCGAAGCACGAATGAGAAAAGTTGATATGTCACTTAGAAATCAGCACGACGTTACGAGGTGGAAGTGAATGATAGTGTACATGACTTCCACGTCATGATTATTGTGTTTGGATGTGTCGTTTACTTTCGTAATCTGTTCCCGTTACGTCATACCAAATTTAGTTTATGTGGATCTAGCGAAACGGCCGCGAGCACGCTACAACCGTGGTACGTTGTCATGTTCTTACATGACACGCCTGTCAGGATTATGATGTTTGCGTCAGTCATATATTTCGTTAACCATTGACATCACGTAACACCAAATTTGGTATATGTGGCGCCAGCAAAACGGCCGCGAGCGCATCATCAAGGGCCCAATGTAGCGTTGACCAGCGCGCACGCTGGGCACAGTGACGCTACGTTACAAAAACGCAGGTCTTCTATAGTCTGACGCCAGGCGCTACCGGCGCGACCAGCGTCTGTCGGCGAGGCCCCACGGCAACCGGCGCGAAATTGGACATGTTTCGTTTCGCGCCGATGCTTTACCAAGACAACACTGCGTCTCCCAGTTTTTGTGACGGAGGGACTCCGGACGTGCTGAAACGCAGATGCGTCAAAGCAACGCAATGCGGCTCGCGCCTGCAATTATATGGCAGGAACGGTGCCTAGCGTGGCAACATCGGCGTGACCCGACGAAATAAACGCCGGTGAGCACTCGCGCCGCGTCACGTCGAAATGTATTGGCGGCTTGACTGTGGCATTAATCATGTTCTCACATGACACGCATCTCATGATTGTCATGCTTGCACCAGTCAGATACTTTTGTCATCGATTAGTGTCACGTAATATGAAATTTGGTAGATGTGAAGCTAGTGAAACGACTGCGAGCGCATCATCAGTGAGGCATGTAGTCATGTTGTTACACGCATGTCGTCATTATCATGTTTGGATGTGTCATTCACCTAGGTCGTCCCTTCACTTCGCGTAATACCGAGTTTGGAACATGTGAAGCTATTGAAACGGTCGGGAGCGCATCATGAGCGTAGCACGTAGTAATGTTGTTACATGACATGCATTTCATGTTTATGATGTTTGCACCAGTATTATACCTTCGTCATCCATTCGCGTCAAATAATACCAAATTTGGTATATATGAAGCTAGTGAAACGGCCACCAGCGTCATGAGCGTGGTATGTAGTCATGTTTTTACATGACAGGCAAGTCAATAATTTTATGTTAGGGTATCTCGCTAGTGTTTACCATGCATTCATGTCATACCATACCAGTTTTGCAACATGAGATGCGAATGAAACCACCACAAGAGCTGCAGGACCATGTAATGTTATTCATGACATTCTTGACATCCATGTCAATATTTTCATGTTATGACTAGTCAAATACGTTCTCCATACACTCATATTATGACATACCAAGTTTGGTATATATACCGGTATGGAAACGGCCAGGAGAGCTAAAAGTTGTGGCAGCTAGATAGAGAGATACGCGCTAAGGTGCCGAAGTTCGCTAAAAAATGATTGGCATTTAAAAATACCAGGAATGTCACATGTTTCGCCTGTCATCACTCGTCTATCATCCTCCAACACACCGTCCAAAAATCCAAAATTTGCCACAAGCAATGAACGCGATAAAAACGAATTGGAAAGTCACGCGCAGAATGGCCAGCAGGCTTAAACATGCCCCGCTTTTCTCACGCACAAGTAACGCACGCCATGTACTCACAGGTACCGACGAATGCGAAAATACATCTCAGTTGACACTTCACCGTGTCTGAAAAGCACGCTTTTTTTTTTGCAAACGGAGCCTGTGCAATGATTGCATTGACCTTTGTGCGCCCTGTAACAACAACAGAATCATTTTGGCGAAAAACAAAGCCTTAATCCTCCCCACTGCAAGAAATGGGCACGCGATCAAGTATACACCACCTTATTATTTATGTGGGGAAATGTACGCGCGGGAGGTTAGCGCGCACTGCCGCGCCATGACTAAGTGACGACTCGCGGTCATTGCGCGATTTTGCTAGTGAGACTGAAATCGCCGTTCCCCCGAAATGCGCAGCACCAGCGGCAAGTGGTAGATAAAAATAGCTTTCTGTTTGAACGATAAGGGACGTGCTCTTACGTTGCTCAGGGGTTAATGCCTGGCACTCATGTCTCAATGATATTTATTTATTTATTTGAATACTTTCCATGCCCGAAGGCTTTACAGAAAGGAGTGGGGGTTATACAACAAAAAGTAAGCGAAATGTTACAATTGCTGCAAAATGGAGAGTTTGAAGTTTGCAGGGTCGATGAAGGATGCGGTTGCAGCGGAAAGGCAGTTCCAGTCTTTGCTTGTTCTGGGAATAAAGGAATCACTGTAGTGGTTTGTTCGGCGAAATGGCACACCTACTTTAAAGCAATGATCGAAACGAGGTGAAATGTAAGAAGAGGAAGGGAGAAGGCTCTCTTTTAAAGATGAATTGTAATGATAAATTTTATGAAAAAGAGAAAGGCGAGAGCATTTTCGACGGAATGATAAGTCGGTTAGATTCAGAGTTTTTTTCATGGCTGTGACGCTGGCATGACGGGAATAATTGCACAAAATGAAACGGGCTGCACGGTTTTGAACAGCTTCTAGAGTGAGAGTTAGGGTTACTTGACCGGGATCCCAGAGGGCGCATGCGTATTCCAGTTTAGAGCGTACTAACAATTTGTAAAGGTTTAGTTTCACTGACATGGGTACGAAAGAAAAGTTTCGTCGCAAATATCCGAGCATGCGGTTAGCATTATTAGTGACGTAATCGACGTGTTCCTGCCGGGATAGATTGTTAGTAATGTTAAGCCCAAGATATTTATACGAGTGCACTGATGATAAGGGAGCATCATTAAGAAGATACATGCAAGTGTTAGAAGCTGAAGGTTTTCGAGATACACGCATGCTTTTACATTTTGTTGAATTAGGTTTCATCCGACAGTCACGACACCAAAGAGACACGTTATCTAGGTCATTCTGAAGTCTGATAGAATCAGTTAGGTTAGTGATTTTATAATACAGCACACAATCATCAGCAAATATTTTAATGGTTGAAAACTTAACACAGTTAGGAAGGTCGTTTATATAAATCAAAAATAACAATGGACCTAACACAGAGCCCTGCTGCACCCCTGATGTTACGGCAGAGGTATCAGAAGAACAGTTCTTAGCAGTGACATATTGCGACCTGTTAGAGAGAAAGGACTTAATCCAGCCAAGCACATTAGGGTCAAGGTTCAATTGATTTATTTTAACGAGGAGAAGTTCATGAGAAACGGTATCGAACGCCTTATGAAAATAAAAAAAAAATGCAATGAGTGTCAGAATTGGCCAAGAGATCGTTAGTGAAAGATAATAGTTTGGTTTCGCATGAAAATGTTGTCCTGAAGCCTTGTTGGGAAAGATGAAAAAAGGAATTTGTTTCAAGGAAGTCCATTAAATGAGAGAAAATAATATGTTCGAGTAGCTTACAGGAAATGCTTGTGAGAGATATTGGTCGATAGTTTTCTGGAAGATGCGGGTTACCTGACTTTTAGACGGGAACCTTTTTCCGGAATTCCAATCAGCGGGTAGCGATGAGCACTGTAATGACTGATGAAAAAGCTTTGCAAGGACAATGGATGAATACACTTCTCTTAAATTCAACATTTCGGAGCAAATTTCATCGGGGCCTGCAGAAGAAGACATTTTTAAACCCTGAATTAGCCTAGTTAAGCCCACCCAGTCAACAAAAATAGGTTCCATGGGCGGAAAATCGGCATGGGGTACATGGGGATATAATGAAGGGGCTGTTGTTTGAAACACTAAAGAAAAAGCATCATTCAGAATCGTGCAGCATTGGTCAGGTGGTACAACCAGGTCAGAACATGTTAATTGAATATTAGATCAAGGTTCACCTCTCATTATGCTCCAAAATTTGCGGGGATTAGTCTGAAGAAGAGCAGGCAGTGTGGAATTAAAAAAATGTTGTTTTTGCGTTGCTAACAGCGTCGTTATATTCCTTCTTTATGCTTTAGTACTCAGACCAACAGCCGGGGAGGTTAGAACGTTTAGCGCTTAGGAACAGACGCTTCTTTTTGTGGCGGAGTCGGCGTAAATTGGAACTAAACCAAGGAAAGCGAGGTTTAGTGCAAATCCTTCTGGTGGGTACATGTTCGTTGAGCAAGGATAATAATTTGTTTTTGAAAAGCAACCAGTTATCATTTACAGATTGTTCTTCATAGTTAGTTATGAATTCCTCGGTAAAACGTTCCATTTCTGCTGTAATTAGTGCCGTGTTGGCACGCGAATAATCCCTAATAATCTTGAAAACCTTAGATCTCGAGGGGTGGTGAGCTTGCGCGGTGAAATGTAGTAACATGTGATCACTTAGTCCATCGAGATAAGTTATCGAAGAAACGAGATCAGGTGAAGTTGTAAGTACGAGGTCTAGAGTGTTAGAACAGGTTGATGTTGACCACGTGGGCTCAAGAACAAGCTGAGTGAG